ACCAACTACAGTGGCCCCGAATCCATCACCGTCGCCAACAGGTCATCCATGCCAATTCACAACTACGGTCAAGGTTTGCTACCATTACATGAAACATCACGTAAGCTCCACCTCTGCCATCTCTTACATGTGCCAAACCTCACACACAATCTTCTTTCGGTTTCTAAATTAACGCAATAAAACTCTATTACTATCACTTTTGACTCTAACGGTTTTGATATTAAGGATATTCATGACCACAAACTTCTTCTTCGTGGTTGTCTCCGTAACGGTCTTTATCAACTCGACATCCCTCCGGACCGCAGCCAAACCGCTCTTCAAGCTTCGACTGACTCCTCTTCTACCTAGCATGCGTGTCTCGGTCATCCGAACAACCAAATTCTTCATCAACTAGCCAGACAATTTACAGATTTTAAGAATATTTCCTTTTCTTTTCATTGTTCATCCTGTAAAGTGGCTAAGAGCCAAAAGCTTTCTTTTAATAAAAGCTCCATGACCACCTCACATCCGTTTGAACTAATTCACTCGGATGTTTGGGGGCCGTCGCCTATCATTTCCGTCAATGGGTTTCGTTACTTTGTTGTGTTTATTGATGATTTTACACGTTTCTCGTGGATCTACTTTATGAATTCCAAGCAAGAAACATTCACTAAATTTAACATGTTTTGCAGCTTAATTAAAAATCAATTCAATACAACACCAAAAATCTTCAGGTCCGATTCAGGCGGAGAATTTACGAGCAACGAATTCTCCCAATTTCTGCGTACTCAAGGGATTATCAGACAACTTTCATGTCCTTATACTCCGGAGCAAAACGGCCTCGCTGAACGAAAGAATCGCCATCTCCTCAACCTCACTAGAACTCTCCTTCACGCTTCAAATCTGCCAAATAAATTCTGGGCTGACGCCGTTGACACCGCCAACTACTTAATTAACCGGTTACCTTGCACTTCACTCGGTTTCAATTCCTAATACAAAAACTTCACAACAAACCGCCCACCTACACCCACCTACGAACCTTTGGATGCCTGTGATATCCTTGGCTTCAACCATACTCGACAAACAAATTTGCTCCAAGATCCCAACCGTCTATATTCCTCGGGTACTCTGCTCTTCACAAGGGTTATAAGTGCTATAATCTGGTAACCAACAAGACTCAGGTCTCTCGGCATGTTGTTTTTCAAGAACATATATTTCCCTATGCCACCCTCAACACTCCTCACAACCCTCAACCTGACAACAACCAAACCAATCAACCACCCCTAACGCTTGTTCCTCACTCCACCATTCACCATCCACCGGTACAGCAACACAACATCTCATCGCTACCAACCTCGCCTCACTTGTCCCCGGTTCAGTTCAAGGCTGTCTCAGATAACATTCACCAAGAAACAACTGAACCCATTCGACCAGAAAGCCATCATATGCAAACTCGTTCCAAATCAGGTATTCACAAACCCAAACCTATTTTCTCTCTTATCAGCAAAGGTACCACTCCATCCACACCGGTCACGTACAAGCAAGCTTCAACTCAAGCACATTGGCAAAACGCTATGATGATAGAATTTCGTGCACTACAACAAGCAACACATGGACGCTCGTCTCCCCACTGCCCAACACCCGCATTTTAAGCTGCAAATGGACGTACAAGACCAAAATTCTTCCTACAGGACAACTTGATCGTCATAAAGCACGGCTTGTCGCCTTAGGTTACGAACAAAAATTCAGAGAAAACTATACAGAAACCTTTAGCCCGGTAGCTAAAATGAGAACAATCCGGATGCTCCTGACACTTGCCGTCAATAGAAAATGGACCACACTACAGCTAGACGTCACCAATGCCTTCCTCCATGGAGATCTCCCGGACGCAATCTATATGCGTCAACCGCAGGGATTTGAAGATCCCAAATTTCCTAACCACGTCTGCAAGCTCAACAAATCGTTATACGGACTCAAACAAGCACCTCGCCAGTGGTTTCAGAAATTCACAAATTTCCTGCTCGCACCCGGTTTCGGGTTCAGTCGCTCTGATCCCTCCTTATTTTTTTCCAAGAATAACATTCAACTCTTTCTTCTAATCTATGTTGATGACATTCTTGTCACAGGAAACAACAAAGCGAGTATACAAGCCCTTCTACAAGACCTCCACATCCACTTCGCATTAAAACAATTAGGCGAAGTTTCTTTATTCCTCGGTATCAACATCACTCAATCCATGGACGGCTACTTCCTTAATCAAGCTCACTATGCCCAAAAACTAATCCATGAAGCTGGATTCGATCAATGTAAACCATCACCCACACCAATCGCACCAGCAACCTCGCATAAATCTCACGACACTACGCCATTCGACGACCCAACACTCTTTCGTTGACTAGCCGGATCACTCCAATATTTGACGATTACCAGACCAGACATCGCTTTCGCAACGAATCAGGTATGTCAACACATGCAACTACCTTCGGTGAAGGATTATCAAAGTCTCAAACGGATACTCCGGTACGTCAAAGGCACGATACATCATGGTCTACCCTTCATTCCCAGCGACACTCAACTTCGTACCTACGCGGATGCAGATTGGGCCTCCAACACCACCGATCGGAAGTCTATCACCGGTCACTGCACATTTATGGGTCCTAATCTTATTTCTTGGACGGTCAAGAAACAAGTTACAATGGCGAAATCTTCGACAGAAGCCGAATATAGGGCCTTATCCGCTGCTACCTCCGAAACTATTTGGCTCCGCCGCCTAGCCGCTGAAATGCAACTCGTTCAAACTAGTCCAACGACCATCTATTGCGACAACATCTCCGCCATTGCAATAGCCAAGAATCCAGTTTTCCATGCCCGGACCAAGCACATCGAAATTGATTATCAATTCATACAGCAACACATCTCCGACGGCAACATCGGCATTCAGCACATTTCTTTTCATGATCAAGTCGTCGACATCCTTACAAAACCTTTCTCTAGCACCTGCTTCCAATTTCTCTCCTCCAAATTAACTATCCGAAAAACGAATAGCTAATTTGAGGGAGGATATAAACAGTTGTACACTATACATTATGCTACACCTCTTGTATTTACATTCTTACCTATTAACTGTTATAAATATCTCTGTTCATCGGTTATTCATTAAGCAATAATATTTTCAGTTTCTATTTCTTCTCTTTACTTCTTGCTTCTTCTTCTTTCTCAAGAACTGTTTCAAAAGCGTCAAGGTAGCCTCAAAATTATTTAGAGAACGAACCACGCATGTGAACCTCCCAAGTATCCATAAATAATGCATAAACATCCACGTGCTAGCACATTAATATTCACACTATTTTATCAAAATGTATAATGACATTCATAGATCTAAAATGATCCCAAACATATACCAAAAATTGTAATAGACCTCAAATGGTCATAGAACCCTTTTAGATTGATCTTCACTATATTTGGTATAATATTTTGCTTTCCTATATTTGTGAAGTATGAGTGAATGAGCCCGTCAAACGTTTTGACGCAGTGAGCAGAATGGGCCGGAACATGTTAGCACATTTTTAATGGGCCAAATGGATTGGCCGGCTTCAGCTATAAAATTATATTATGAGAAGGAATAAAATATATAAAATTCAAATAATAAAATAAATTAATGAGTAAAATATATGTTTGTATATATTTATATATTTTTTGAAATTATAATTTTATGGAAATATAATTAAGTTATATTTTAAAATTTAATTGTAAATTCATTTCCTTGGGAAATATAAATATTGATATATCTAGTTTAATTATAATTTTTGTTGGGTGTCGGAACATTCGCCGTGGTAGAGATATATAAGACTTAGCATCTTAGCTATGTATGAAGATCCAATAAACATAAAAATAAGAGAGAGTAGTGCGAGAGTTATAAGAGTCACCAAAATTTTTTATCATGAAAACCTTGAAAGGGGAACACGAGTCTGACAAAGTTAAAATGATTTTGCTAGTGCGTAGTCGATTATAAATGATGCCCGTTAATCGGGAAAGGTCTTGGCTTAGTGAAGCAAATATATATCCGATCAAACAATACAAATATACAAAAATAAGTCCTAGAAATTCCGAACTATAAATGATCATTACGATTTAGTAGATCTCTTCATTTATAAAGGCGAAGGAGGAGGAGAATAAGAGCATTTTTCTTATTTTTATCCTCACATGTGAATATTAATATTCCTTAGTTATGAAATATCTCCCATAAATCACAACAAGAAGTCCAAATAAAATAACGATTATGAGTCGTGAATTTGTTAATGGATCAACTTTCTACCAAATCCTTTCTAAAATTAAGTTCACTAATTATCTCTATATTTTTTCTTAATTAAGATCAAAATAGCATATTATTTCCCGACCAATTACAACTTACGCATGAATAAAAAATAAATAGTAATTAGAGTCTCAATTTTAACTAAAATTGCTCATAAATTGGTCGAAGTATGGTGACACCCATATAGATCCAGCAGTATAGTGATCAATTCAGACAAAGCTAAAATTACTTATATCAACCAAAAGAGGAATGATTCCTTGGATCCTAAAGAAACATGAGGAGAAAATGGTTGAACAGTGATTTTAAGAGAATCTTATAGCAGGCAAAAATTATCTCAAATACCATAGCGTTTATAGGATCAAATTTTATGCAAAATGATATAGTGAAGAAGCGAAGAAAGGGAAAAACAGAGGGGAAAAGGATGAAGAAGAAAATAAAGAAGAAGAAGAAGAAATGGAGAGCAGTATGAGGAAGGTAAGAAGAAGGAAGAAAAGGAATAAAGGAAGAAGAGGAAAAAGCAAGAAGAAGAATACTTCTATTTCCTGCCATTTTTTCCCTGAGCTTTTTTATTCGTTCGCATAGTGATCACTTTCTTTTATATATATATTTGTCTTCAGTCCATTCCTTTTTTAGATATTTTCTTTGGCCTTCGACTATAAAAAGAAAAATAAAAGATGATTGTATGACAATCATTGAAAGGACTGAGGAAATGGGTAAAAAGCTACAGCTTTTCAAAACGCAAATTTTGGACAAAGCAAACATTTCTCTTCAAAATGTGCTTACTGTAAATATTGATGAAATGTATCAGTTTAGCATCTCATCAAGCTTCTGTCTATAGCGAGCCAGGCTCTGCAAGTAAAGATAAAAAAAATACATTAGTAGCTATACAGTAAAACTTAATTAATAATTTAGAAAAAAAAAATCTGTAGCAATATCCAAATGTTATTGTAAGTAGATCTTCTCTGTATACTAGTGTGTTTAAGAAACGAAATATAAGACTACTGTTGTATTCAAACAGAAGGGAAATGAGAAGGAGCGAGAGTTGTTGTAGTGGGAAGGAGGAGATAGAGTAGAAGACTAGGAAGTAGGAACTGTATTGAAGAGCAGGGGTCCATTTGGCGACTCGTAGTCACGCGATTCAACTCCGAGAGGCTTTCTCTTAGGTAATTCGACGCTCTGATTATAACAGTGTAGTCCATTTGGCTATTGGTGGTTGTTTGATCATTTAAATAAGGCGTTGTGTCCGTCGACCTTCGCTTGAGTCGTCGATTTTTTTTTGTTCCGACATGACCGAGTTGAACTCCAGTATGACTCATTGAGGCAAAGGAGGGTTACCAATTAGTCAATGAAATGAAGCATTTAGACTCAAAAATTACATAGGCTACTTTTAAGTTGACTATGGATTTTTAAGACCACGAACCTGACCTTAATATTAAATGGACCAACATTTTTAACCCAAACTTGACCCATATATTATTCATCTCAACTTGAATCCAAATTTTTCTAGTCAATCCTATGTCGAGTTATTTATTTACCACCCTCATTTTAACTCCTTAATTCAAAATAAATTCTTAAAATCATGGTTTAGAAAGAAAGAGGCAAGAAAGGGAGAGAGAGATTCTTAGTCTTTAATCATCATCATCAACATTCTCATGACTATTTGCATTTGGCAACAAAACATTTGATTCATGACAACGCCTTTATGCAAATGATCCGTAATATACCAAATAAGTGCAAGAAACATTGGTTGTGCGCTCTCTTAATTTAAAAAATCTCATTAATGCTTTCAGAAACTTAGAAGAAATATTGCATTCTCATATTTATTTGCAACTTCATCCCCACATTTTACTGATAGAAATATATAAATAACTTAGCAGCTTAGCCAGTTACAAGAAAGCATAAAGCATAAGAAAACAGGGAAGCACGAGCAGGATTTGTACCAAAGTATACGCATAAACACCAGCCTCAAAAGGTCCTGCTGGACTTCCTCTTCTGATGAACTTTCCTTCCTTAATTATATATAGCATGGGAATGCCAGTAGAAAGCTCCAGATTGATCACCTAAAGCAAAAAAGGAAATAAGAAATAAAGATTTAACTGACAGTTTTTAAGACTATGGAAAGTAAACTATAATAATCATCTGGAAACAGGAACAAATGTGCCACCTCGTGAGAAGTCAACTTGTCAAGATACATAATTATTGATCTTAAGGAATTCCCATGAGCTGCAATCATCACATTTTTGCCAGACAAAAGTTGGGGTTCGATCTGGAATGCAAATTATCCAAAGCGTTAGATGTCATATAGCTGAACATACTGACTTTCTGAGTGCTAGATCATTTCAACAATTAGTTTATAAATTGCCTTTATGATATGGATTAGAAGAAAGCGATATGAAGGTTCGAGTCTGGGAGAGTTGTATGAACCAAATATGTTCGAGTTGAGGCTTCGTTTGAGACGGATTTCTTTTTGCTTCTTAAAGCAGTTTTTTAGTTCAATAATTAAAATTTTTGTACTAGAAAGCTGCTTTAAGAAGCAACAAGAAAACCATCTCAAACGAAGCCTTAATTGATTCTTCACTAAGAATCTATTTTTAGCACTTGATAAAGTATTAACATAGCAAAGGGTGGATTGATATTCATTTTTATGGTTCGGTTCACATACATAAATTGAACTGCATAGATTAGGGAATACATGTATGAGAACTTTTAGGGATTATTAAACTAAAGGAGAAACAAAGTTAGCTACAAAGTGGTCAAATTCATTTCTAAACCCAAAACAAATTAAGCCTGTAGATAGAAATTTGAAGTTTCTTACATGATCCATAAAATAAGCAACAGCTCGATCAGCGCACATTTCCAAACTCTCACCATTGGGAGGAGGAATGTCAAAACTGCGGCGCCATTCATGAACTTTTTCTTTCCCAAACCTTTCTGCTGTTTCCTGCTTGTTGAGACCTTGTAATTCCCCATACCTAAATGATAAAAAATAGAACAAAAGAAGATGTTAAACATCAACAGAGCTTAAACTACCTGCAAGGCCGCAGTGTGATAAAAATATCGGTAATGAGATAATGACACTACATTCTTTCATTCAATTGCCAAGCTGGTATAACAGGAATAGACTGTTTCCTTGTTTCCTCACTATATATCCGGCTCCACTGAATAGCTTGTTCACTCTCGCTGTGCATGACAATTGGAATCTGATCATCATTGGAAATGTTATATAAATTATAGACCTCTGTACTACTCTTTGGTATAGATATATTTAAAGGGATCACAAAGTATTGAATAGTACAAAAGCTAAGGTTCAATTTGCTTAGCACAAATTTCAATAAATCCCTATGTTAAAAGCAATTATGTGATTTTTAAAAATGTAAAAAAAATACATAACATAAAAAATCCATTGTGATATAGTTGCATGATAACATCAAGTACATGGATTTGTGAAGAAAAACTAAGGTGGCAGTGGGAATAAGGAAGAGCTTTCAACTGTCAAAATGAAATAAGATCCATAAGTGTTGAATTTTAGAAGATTGGAGAGGAAAAAGCTTGAAACTTTATTTTCAACATTATCCCTATTTATAGATCTATGCAAAATTTAAAAAAAAAATAGATCTTTGCAAAATGCTTAAATAAAGAAACAAACAACTTCAGAATAATTAGTAACACAGTCCTTCATAATTCTACAGCCTAACTAAGGAAGGCACTCAACGGGCAGCGAGCTTCCCATGGATCTCTATTTACAGCCGTGGGATAAATGTGGGATCGGGAGGCCGGGATTTAACAGTAAGCTTCAAGTTGAAAACACATGTTTTACATGGTAAACTATATACAATACTTTAAAATACCTAAAATTTTGACTGGAAGCAATAAGAACAAGTTATCATGACTACTTTTAAACTATGAATGAACAGAAATGTTGCTTATGTACTTCTTCTTTTTTTAAAATTTTGCTTATATGCTTAAATACCCATAATAGGGTCCAATTTATAGTCCAAAACACAGGATTTAGAGAAATAAAAAGAAAACCTTCTTGCGGCGATGCTGAGTCATGGCAAGCATAGCAGTCATCTGAGCACGAATCAATGCCGATGTATATATCATGTCTACGGGAATATTGCTTATTCGTTTACCCGCTTCAATTGCCTCCTCCACACCCTTTCGAGTCAATGGTACATCAACACAACCTGTGAATAGATTTTTCTCATTCCACAATGATTCACCATGACGAATCAATATGAGTGCAGCTTCATCTGCGAAACAACAAACAATTTTCAAGAAAATGACAGATTTTACCAGTAGAATGCAGGGGAATAATCTACTACATTCCCTCAGTTTACTGTCATGAAGTAAACCAAAAATCTCTCTCTTTCAATTATGAAGTAAATATTAATGATTTGGATGAGTAATGCTTTCTTGAACCAAATCTATTGCATGCAAAATGCAGAATCATAAATGCAAAACTCATACCTAAGCAGATAGATCTGGAGCAAAACTTAGTGAATTAAAATGCTTACAAGATTTCCTATGAGAGTCACTGATGTTGTTACCAACTGGTAATCTTAGTGGATCAGCAACTGAAGAATGTGAGGATGATGCATGAATTATGCCTTGGGAGCTATCATGGCAACAAGCTCCCTTCCTAAGTAATCTGATTTCTATGCCAAAACCTTTGTAACCCTTTCTCAATGAAGATGTCCCAGGCCAGTTTTGCAAATTGGAGCACCTCTGATTCCTGTGGTTCTGGAAGGAGCCCAAGGATATATAAAATGTGGCTGTAGCCATCTCTGGAAACACAGCAACATCATCTCAATAAATGTATCCATGGTGTTTCGCTACATACCCAAAAAAAAGGTAAAAACATTCACAGAGAAGTAACTGGCCAGTAAAGATCATAACCAAAGGAGAAAAAAAAAAGTTAAAGATCAACATCAGCTACTCTCATAAGAAAACAACAATCAGGGTCAAACCAATCAAAACAGATTACCCTAAAAACATTTCTCGCAATAAGAAAAGAAATGTTCATCAAGGCCCAGAACAAAAAGAGGATAAAAATTAAAAAGTAGAAGCATTATGCCGTGTACCTATAAAATTCAATATGAGAAGAATTTATTAAAGGAACACCAAGATGAAGTGCCAATGAGTCGAAAAATCACACCTTTTTAATCAAGGAAACCAAGATGGCGTCGGAGAAACCGAGGTAGAAGGCTGTCGTAGAAGAACAACGCCGAAGTTGGAGACAAACAGTAACGAAAAAGGCTTCAGTTTTGGAAGGAGAGACAAGAAGGGGTGAGTCAGAGAGAGAGAGAGAGAGAGAGAGAGAGAGAGGATACTTATAATGCGAAGAGGAAGGTGGATGAAAAAATTAGAGCACGGCCAAACTACCGGAAATGTTGGTGGGAATCGGCAGAAAGTACATGCCAGGACGTGAAAACCAAAGTTTATATATATATATATATATCCGTTAAAAATTCAAACTTATAAAATGTATACATTTGACATAAAGATCCTAATACTTATATTAGATATAAATTTATATGTGACTGACATATAAATTATAATTGGAGGCCCTCATAAGATTTTATGTCTATAAGTATTAAAATATAAATTAAAATATAATTCTAAAGAGGAATTAAAAATAAAATAAGCTGTAAACTCTTCCTGAGTTGATTGCATAATTGATGCTCATCTTGATTAATTTAAGAGATCAGATTATAATGCACCCAAATGTTTCATTCTTGAAAGTTTTAATGAAAGGAGGAGAGAGGATGGAGAACATCTCTTATATGACTCCCTGCTTTAAAATTTAGCCATTCATAAAGAAAATAAATCTTAATAATTATTTTCATGATGTCATTATCATCCTTAATCACTCTATCTTTAATTAAATATGTTGATGGTGTGATCTTTTATAAAAGAAATGATATTTTTTACAATTTTGAATAATAAAAAAAAAATTCAGTTTCTTTTCAAATTAAAGTAAACATAATGATAATCATCTTCTTCTATGAAGATGGTGACAGTATAATAATTTTTAAAACTAGGAAGTTCTTATAATTTGATTATGATAAAATGCATTTTTTTTTTCTTCATATTACATCTTGATTAATTTTTATTTTAAAATTAATCAAATACTTCTGAAATCAATACCAATCAAATTTAAATCAAGAAAAATAATAATAGAAACGAAGTTCCGCTATAAATCACAGTAGAGGCTAATAATGACCGGAAAATTTCAGAGCAATAAACAACACAATTGGACATCAAAACCTCTGGAAACAAAAATGAAATGCTAATACATTCAAAACATAAAAAATACAATTATCTGTTCATAATATACAAGTCTCAATGCATAAACCTGCAAGAATGAGCGAACATTGAAAAATGTCTTTTGCTTCCAAACAGCCATTGAAGCCATACTACACTCAAGCCATGAAAAGGAATTGAGCGTTAAAATCAAGAGAAGGCCAATCACTGCAGAAAACTCTGCGAAAAATACCACTAAAATAGGAGTTAATGTCAGGTATAATAATATGAAATAAGCTCAAGCCACTTCCAAGCAGCCCTTTCTACCTTTCTAATTCAAACCATTTGATCTGATAAGAAAATGAAGTCCAATCACCAGGGATGCATTATCTGTAGGAATCACTTCCATAGTTGACTATATATTTTTTTTTTCCAACTTTAAGCTTTAACATAATCATATCAGTCAACTTTTCCTCTCACCCTTTTATGATCCCTGTCAGAAAGATCTGACCACACCTCATCTGGCCTTCGCTTTGCAGCTGAAACTTTTCCATTATTACTCTGCAACTTAGGTAGAGGATGATCATGCTCATCAATGGAGGAGAGCTCCCCTTCTTCAACAAATTCCTGGATTCGATTATCAACATTTACATTTCCAGATTTGAGAAGTTTTGGTTTCATACTCGCCTGAAAAGGATGGAGGGGCTTTGGCCAACTTTGTCTATTGTGATTGAGTCGAATTTTGTATCGGTGGGTTCGTATTTCTGAGACGTTCAGTTCGACTATAAGTTTGCTGAAATCGGAGTTCGGATGGTCCCAATTTTAATTTCGAAAGTTTTCAACTTGATTTTGCATCGAGATTCATGCACTATCAAGATACTTTTTTGATGACGTATCAGATATAAATTTATATGGGACTGACATAAGAATTTTATTAGCAGGCCCTTATAGGATTTTATATCAATAAGCATTAAAATTCACATTAAAATATAATTCTAAAGAGGAATTTAAAAAAAAAAAATTGAGATGTAAATTCTTCCTGATTTGATTGCATAATTGATGCGCATATTGCTTAATTTAAGAGATCAGATTATAATGCAGCCAAAGGTTTCATTCTTGAAAGTTTCTTTAATGAAAGGTGGAGAGAGGATGGAGAATATCTCTTATATGATTCCTTGCTTTAAAATTTAGCCATTCCTCCTTATAAAGAAAATAAATCTTAATAATTATTTTATGATGATCATTACCTTCCTTAATCACTCTATCTTTAATTAAATATGTTGAAGGTGTAATCTTTTATAAAAACAATTAAAATTTTTTACATATTTGAATAATAAAAAAAATTCAGTTTCTTTTCAAATTAAAGTAAACATATATAATGATAATCATCTTCTTCTATAAATTAATGAAGATGGTCAGGGGCGAATTCAGCTTCTTTTTTCAGGATGAGCAAAATTTTAATTAATTAGACAATAACAACAATAATAATAATAAAATAAAATAAAATCATAAATTAATAAAAAAATAATTGGATTTCAATGCAATGCAATGAAAAATAATTGAAAAAATAGCCAACAAAAAAATAAGATTTATTTGTATAGAAATTACAATTTTTTTTCCTCTTTTTTCTTAGAATTCATTTTATACCCAACTTATAAATAATAAGACACTTCTATTTCCATTTGATAAAGTTTCAATCATACTTTATACAAATTAGAAATTAAGTACATTACCTTTTTGTATTATATTCAACCAATGTTTTTTCCTCTCCCTAAATGATGGGCAAAAATTTTTTTTAGGGTGGTCAAAATTCTAAATTAACCTCCATATAGACCTTTTTTTTTAGGGTGGGCATTTGCCCACCCTGGACTATATGGGGATCCGCCCATGAAGATGGTGACCTCCCTATAGGCCTAGAATGAGAGGCCACAGTCGAGTTACTTGTAAGAATAAGTGCTCATCATTTTCATAATTTTTTTTGTTTTTCTCATTATTATAAAAATATTGTATCCGCTTGAATTAATTATAATTCTTAGAATAATATCATTTAGGAGACAACATTGACTTAAATAAAATTAAATTGTAAAGCTTGTAATATTTCAGGAATTAAGTTCTGAGAATTATATAATAAAATTAATAGACAGCGAACAAACAAAAAAAATTCTTAGAAAAAAAAAAAAATCCCACAGTTTTATTTGGGCTCGTATGAATAGCAAATTTCTAAAGCGTGAGGATCTTGAGAGAGGTTTTAAGTAGACAAAAATACCCAGCACACCTACCGCTGCCTACCGAACTCGGATTTTGTTTTTATTTATTAAATTTAATGAGAATACACAACTCTCTTTGGCCTATTGGTTGAGAGCTAAGGCTTCCAACTAAGAGGTCTAAGGTTCGAGTCTCTGTGTATGCGTTGTGTGTGTGAGTTTGCCTTAAATGACCTAAATGTCCCAAAAAAAAAAAAAATTTAATGAGAATAAATTTATTCTCATTAAAATAAAATTTATATAAAATAAACTTTCTCATTGCACCGCATCAACATATACTAAACATTTTTTATATTTTATATAAATGATGCAATTATTTTTTTGAAACTTTTTATTGGGGAATATTTAAATAAAATTTAGATTAAGTCATCCACACATTATATAGCTCAAATGCATATCCAAAACTCCCAACCAATAGATCAAGATGAGTTACATATTTTCGAAACGTTCACATCATTGAGCTGTAAAAATAAAAATTCTAAAATTTTGATATTTAATTTAGTAGCTCTAGCATTCGACATTATAAATGCTGAATTTTTTTTTTTTTTTTTTTAAAATCTATGTGGCAACATGGGATGTCAACGCTAAAAAACGTATTCAATAAAACAAAGAACTTAACATATTAACGGTAAGCATTGCCAACAATAAAATAAAATAAGAGCTAACACACAATTATTTAATTCATACCGAATTAAATACAATCAAAATGGATATCAAAATCATTAGATTTATCTTAAAATTAATCAAATACTTTTGAAATCAATACTAATCAAATTTCAATAAAGAAAAAAAAAAAACGAAGCTCCACTATAAATCACAATAGAAGCTAAATAATCACCGGACAAGTACAAGCAATAACAACACAATTGGATATCAAAACCTCTGGAAACAAAAATGAAATGCTAATATGGTCAGTTTTTTTTTTCACAATACAATCAAAATATAAAAAATCCAATTATCTCGTCATAATACACAAGTCTCAATGCATAAACCAGCAAGAATGAGCGAACATTCAAAAATATGAAATAAGCTCAAGCCACTTCCAAGCAGCCCTTAATTTCTTTCTTTCTGGTTCAAACCATTTGATCTGGTAAGAAAATGAAGTCCAATCACCAGGGATCCATTCTCTGTAGGAATCACTTCCATAGTTGACTATTTTTTTTTTTTCTAGCTTTAAGCTTTAACATAATCATATCAGTCAACTTTTCCTCTCACCCTTTTATGATCCCTGTCAGAAAGATCTGACCACACCTTCTCATCTGGCCTTCGCTTTGCACCTGAAACTTTTCCATTATTACTCTGCAACTTAGGTAGAGGATGATCATGCTCATCAAGGGAGGAGAGCTCCCCTTCCTCGGCAAATTCCTGGATTCGATGATCAACATTTACATTTTCAGATTTGAGAAGTTTTGGTTTCATACTCGCCTGAAAAGGATGGAGGGGCTTTGGCCAACCTTGTCTATTGTCCTCCTTATTAAGCTCAATTCCACTCTCAAGCTCTCTTTCGATAAGATCATCATCATCATCTACAATCTCATTTTTTTTGGCCGTGTCATTCCGGTGTTTTCTTGTTTTTTCAAGAGCAGCTTTCACTTTTTCCTTGTCAATCTTTGTGATAGTTTCTGCACAGTTGCCCTTCTCATCAGACAGATCATCTGCATGAAATAGCTTTGAAGAGCTCAGAGCTTCAGCTGTGGATTCCCAGCGGCGAGAAACCAGCTCAGCCTCTTGATGCGAGTTATCTTTCCCATCGCCATCCATATTGTGGTCCCAGACCCCACTTTTACTATCAGCACTTCCATGGTCATTGCTGTAGCTCCGAGCACTCCGGGAACTGATACGGTCACCATCAGCGTTAGATTGTTGAGCCCCGATCGGCCTCATTTGAGGAGTTAGTTGAGCCACTTGCCTTGCATTTATAGATACTGAGCTCTCACTGAGAGTGGAGGTTACCACTGTTGGATGATTAGTTCCAGCACAAGAACTTCCATCAGCTTCATTATTAGCATGAGATGGTTGGGCTAGGCGATTTTGCTCATAAAGCTCCAGCATTTGATTGCTGACATCTACAAGGAACACGAACATAAATTTTTGGGATATATAAAAAGATTCAAATATTCCCAGGTCAAAACGATTTGATGAGTCAACCTTCAAGTTGCCGTGGTGTGACATCAAATTCTTGCCACCAGACTTTCTCTCCATCAGATGGAAGCTTCACCTTAAGAAACTTGGCAGCAAGAAATATGGCACCAGCAGCTATGTGGTGGGGCTTAAATTGCAGGCAGAGTGAAGTCCGCAACCTGCATAGCATATTTAGATAAATATGCCAGTGGGGGGATTTTAAGGCAGAACTAAGTAACATGCCTCGAGAAAAAAGGTAGGTACCCGTCATTTACAAAATTCCATGCCACTTGAGCCAGAGCATTTTGTGCCACCTTGAACTTTTTAATTGCTTCGACAAGGGGTTTATATGGGTGATACATATTTAGATCAAAACCAAGTGTCGCTAGAACGAGCCTTCCCCCAGTAAAATGAGCTCTTTCTGTTGCTCGTAAACTTCCTGAAAAACAAAAGGAATAATGCACTAAATAAAAAGATAGAGAAAAGAAAGCTGTTCATAATGATTTGCCAAAAAGAAAGAGAAAATGACAAAATAAGAGAAGAAAGAAAAATTGGTACAACAATTTGATAGAAAGAGGAACAAACTGGAGGGATATGAGTGTGCAAGATACAAGTACCATTTCATTTTGGTGGCTGTATTCTAATTAACGAAAAACTCAAGGGTACCTTCTGCTTGATTCTCTGAACAGCAGCAGGATCCTTTTTATGAATGATTTCGTAGGAAACAAGAATCACATCCTTCAGCGGGCGTGGAGTTTCTTCAACCTTTCCAGCAAGGAACATGCACACTGTAGCGATTGTCTGCAATGTAACAAATTAAATATGAAGCTTAAAACAGTTGATGATGTGAAAGTCACGAGCATAGTCTGATAAGCAAGCAAATAAACAATTCAATTCCAGTACAACAACAACAAAGACATCAAGCCTTTTATCCCACTACATGGGGTCGGCTACATGAATACTGTTTCTTCATTGTATCCTATTAAAAGTCAAATTCAAAGGTCATTCCTAATATTTTCTAATCAAGTCTTTTTAGGTCTGCCTCTACCTTTCTTAACATAAATGAAATCTAATACCTCTACTTTCCTAACCGGGTCATCGGAAGGCTGCCGTTTTATGTGACCAAATCATCCAAGGCGACTCTCTCTAATTTTATCTTCTACTGGAGCTACTCCAACGTTTTCACTTATATGCTCATTTCGTATCCTACTAGATAACTGTGCCATTCATCTAAACATTTGGAAAGTGTCATGATGGATGATTTCTGGAGAACACGAGGGGTTCCATTGTTCCAACTCAATATCACTAAAATGAAGAACATAAAGCAATATAAAATATAAGGGAAAATAATGAAGGGAATAATTAACCGGAAGCACAAAAAATGAAGGCTGTACCAATTGTACTTAAGGTCTGGGCACATAATAATTCAGACCTGGATAACTCTCACTTACTAGTTAAAGCTTTGCGATTATTAAACCTCAAATTATATATCTTAGGCTCCATTAGGTAAAATTTCCTTTCACATGTTGCGGCACAATATGCAGTAACTAGTGCAGCACATGTAGAGGACAACCACCAATCTACCCATCTGCATCCCCACTCAACCAATTTGATGCTAAGGTTGCAAATTCAAAACACTACAAGATTGCCAAAAAACAAAACTTCCTTGCAATATAGCTTAGACATACACAAAACAACTTCAAAAACAAAATTCAACACAACTTTCAACTTGTAAACAACACAATCAAATTACTATTAATAAAGTTTAGAGAAGAAGGATACAATTGTAAGGGATACCGTGGAGAGAAGAAAGAGATTAGAAACTGAGATGAATTATAAGAAGAGAGGAGGTAGAAGAGGATAGCTCGCAAGCTATTCGAAACCCACAAGCTTCGTGCTCCAAAAATTTATCTCAAATCTATCTAAAAAAAAGTAGCAAACAACCCCCCTTTAAATAAGGAAAATGAATCCAAACATCCCCCAAAAGGTGCCACCCATGCCCATGCCTCCAATAGAAGCAGCCATAATTTATGGGAAATCACCAAGAAAGAGGCACGACCAGCCTAGGAACCAAACAGTCAGAAAACCAATAGCCAGCACAGGATCCGAACAGCCCAACAAACCAACAGCCATCCCCCAAAAAAGTGCCTCCCCAAGCCTCCAATGGGAGCAACCAAAGCATGGAAAATATCCAAGAGAGAAGCACGGCCAGCCCAGGAACCAAATAGCCAGAAAATCAGCCAGCTCAAGATCCGAACAGCCAGTCAAAACATAGGAAAATCCCAAGAGAGAGGCACGGCCAACCAACCAGAAAATCAGTCAAGAGAAAATGGGCTAAGCCCAAAAGGAAAATTTTAGCCCAACAATAAATGCCCATTAAGGAAAAAAACTGAAACTTTTGCCTACATCACAATTCAAGACCAAAGTTCAATAGTTTCTTTACAAGATATACATACTTGATCATCATTAGAATAACTAACATTTTATTTGGATTCTATGTTTGTTGGTTGGAAGTTTAGCTCCCAACTAAGAGGTCCTAGGTTTGAGTCTTGCCTATATCACATATTGGGATGTATAATTAGATCTCCGATTCTCTTGCTTATTTTTAGAGCGACTTGCAAAAATAACAAAATAATTAGGAAAAGAAAAAAATTTACCTGAAGAAGAGGGTTTAATTTGATACTCCCATAATGACATTGATGCTACCTTTGTATTGTCATTACCTATAAATATACACGAGGAGCAATGCTTCGATCACACTACAATTCACTTAATTTTTTTCTCATTGCTTATGCTCCAATTCACTTAATTTTTTTTCTCATTGCTTATGCTCGCATGAAGAATAGTTGAGTCCACATCTCTAATGTTTGACAACATCGACAGCCGCAGTTGTGGAGGGCCCTACTCTACAAGCACAAGGCCATAAGTAAAGGATGAAGGAAAAAAGTCCCTCCAGCCAACTGAGGCAAAGATGAAAGTAGTTTCCCCCGAGCAAGGAACAAAGGCGGCTTGCTCTACTAACTCCAATTGGAGTGCACCTTCATGAGAGTCGCATCCAACATGGCTCGACAACCAGGAAAGTTGGCCTAACCCTTGCAGTAATCTACGTGAAAACTAAGGTGGCTACTGTCACGACCCAACCCGACCGGGACGAATCCCGCTCGCATCTGGCCGCGACGGAACTTTCAAAATTCAGGATCTAGTTTTGGAATTTGCTTCAGAACTTTCTTCCAAATATTACATAGTCAGAAAGACACAGAGCTACTATAATCATCCAAATGCAGAGTAATTCATCTATCTTTTCTTTCGTCAAAATAATCATATACAGATACAGTACATGACTTACAGACAGAAAGAACAGAACATAACAGATAAGTCATGACTGTACAAAAATCAAAAGTACAAAATACCTAATCACAGATCAGACTCAGAACGTCTAGTCCAAGACCTCCTTCCCTTTCCCAGAACCTGAAAACCACGTAGAAAACAAGGATGAGCTGACAGCTCAGCAAGACATCACTCACCAATCCAAATCATCAGAAATAGCCGTACGAAAATCATAGAACAGATACTTGTTCAATCATAAATCAACAACTAAAATAGAAAACTGAAGTCATGTCGAATCGGAGTTCAGAACAGATATCATAAAGCTTTTAAGTCATAGAGCAGACAGAATCGTACGGAATAACCAGAATTGTACAGAAATCACAATTCAGATAAAATCACATTCATATCAGATAATTCATAAAATAGATCAGATAAGTCATAGCACAGATTATCAGATATCAACATCATATTTCAGATAACATATCACATATCAGATTTCAAATTCCCAGACCCTTACAGAATCGTACGGATTCTGACCCCTTATGCCTCCCTTCCCTGACACTTACAGAATCTCGACGGATTCTGGCCACTTATGTCTCCCTTTGTGCTTATAGCACCAGAACATAACAGATATTCGCGGAATTCCAGAACATAACTTATTTTCAGATTTTAGAGCTCATATCAACTTTCCCTGACACTTACAGAATCTCAAAGGATCCTGGCCCCTTATAACTCCCTTTTGATAGCACACAAACACTTCAATTCATTCAAGAAATCAATTCAGAAAAATCAGAATTCGTACGAAATTTCAGCGGCATAACGACAGTATACGGAATTTACACAAAATTCATAGATTCAGAAATTTACCAAATTACCATAGAACATTCACAACAACATTGTAAGACTTTCATTGTACTGACAAAACATTTTTCAACAACTTGATAATTTGCAGTTCAATTAAAACACCGCAGAATTCAAAATATCCGGTAAAAATCTTCCAGAAAATACGCGAGATATGCAAAGTACACACATTGACAAACTTATCCACATCTATAGGCCTATCCAATCATAAGCTTGAGTTTCTCTTCTTAAAGATAGTACATTAGTTTGTTCAGAATTATTTTGAATTCTGCATGCAAACACTATAAAAAAGAAGACAAGCAAGAGAACTAAAATTATTAGTGTTGATGATCATGCTTCCTCAAATAATGGGATGCAAATAGGAAACAAAAAATTAACAATAAGCAATTAGCAAGCTACCTTCACTTTTCAGCTAATAAGCAGAGAGTTTTATTTCTGCAAAACATAGAAGTCGATAACACCAAAGACCTGTGTTAACAATGGACGGGGAAGCACTATTAATGAACAATGGCTGGGGAAAGGCCTATCTACCACATGCCTACAGCAAAAGGTATGACGCTTTCTGAGCACATCGCAGGCATCCTAAAGCCAATTTTATGCTGTAAATTACCTCAATTCAACAAAAGCAATTAATGATCTCTATCCATCTTAATGAAACCAGACAAATTACAGTTAATCAAACTAGGCTCATTTTCAATAAAATCAATTTCAAAGAATTTATATTTAGTTATTTACCATGGTAACTTCAGGAAATAATCCAGTGCAATAGGCTCCAGTATGGGTATAAACGAGTCAAGTCGAGCTCGAGTCATGCCTAACTCGAGCTCGACTCGTCAATCAAATTGCGAGCTCGAACTCGAGCACATACTCGAGTCGAGCTCAAAATGCCAACTCGAGCTCGGCTCAAGATAATATAAACTGGCTCACGAGTAGCTCGCGAATAGCCTCACCTGATTCCATGGGAGAAGATGAAGGCGTCAGGGAAGATTAAGCATATTTTGTTGTTGCTTGAGAAAGGCAGAAGAGGCAAAGCAGCATTTTTTGGAAAGAGAACCCGGTGAAGCAGTATTTTTTTCTTGGGAAAATATGAACCGATACTTTTTATTTATTTATTTTTTTAAATTGTTGCCATATCATTAATGAAGAGCAGCTTTTCTGAACTGGTACTATTTTTTGGGAATAGAAATTTACTTTGATTTTATTTGTTGATTAATTTAAGTAAAATAATTCAATTAATTAAATAATTGCGAGCCAGCTCATGGGTCGAGCCTCATCGAGCTCGAGTTTAAGCTCGAGCTCCAGCTCGTGGCTCAATAAGCTCGGCTTGTGAGCTCGTAATCGAGTCGAGCTCGAGCCGACTCGCAAGCTGGCTTAGCTCACTTACACCCCTAGGCTCCAATATATTATGTTAATTTTCATCAAAATGAATTTCAAAATTTGTTATTTACAATAGCAATGATGGGAAATAATCCAGTATAATAGATTATTCTAGCAAAAAAAAAACATCTTCAATTTCACCAGCATGCACATAAATAATGATTTTTATGCTTTCAAATAAAAATTCAAAAATTTCATGTTTGCCATCAAATATAGGTGATATTAGCACTCCAACT